TTTAACGGAAGCAAAAGCCGTACCTAGATTAGAAAAAATTTCTTCTAGTTTATCAATTCTAGATGGGCTTTCTTCAATTCTGTCATGAATTATAGTTCCCTTTTCTTTTAGCAACTTAAAAACGTCTCCCGCTTTTGACCCAACTTTAGTAGCATAACTTTGCATTTTTCTATCCAAATTTTCAATATGTTCTACGGTAAGCATTTTCTTTTCAATGGCATCTAGTCTTTCCATAACACGCTCGAGAGTCAATATTGTTTCATTGATCATGAGTGGTGGTGAACCCACTAAATTTCCCAGAGCATTAAAAGCATCAAGAGTAGGACACATCAAAAAATTCCCGCCGGTAATCGTTTCAAGGACGAATCTATACCAAGTGGTGATGCCCACATAAAAACAACAAAGAAGAACAACGATAGATTGCTTGCGGATAGATCTATTATGAGCATTGCAAATCCTATACCAAGCATCTTTTAAATTTTCTCCTCCCCTTTGTTTAAAGTTGAGAACCTTGCTCTCGGGGGTGCACGCAATAGAAAAGGAGAAATCCATAATGACAAAAGGTGATAAGCAAGATTGCACACGAAAAACAGATCTGACGAGAAAAAGGCGAACGAAAAAGACGGCGAATAAAATGGCAAATTTTTTTGTGAAGTGGGGGAGAGGAAAACGAGAGGAAAATGGCAAATAATGTAAATTGCGAGAAGATGAGATTTTTGATTAGGAACCTGGTTGATGTTGAAGATCCTCCCCGGCAACAGCGCCAGAAATTCCTTTTGATGTCTGCTAGAACTACGTCGGTATTTCCCCAAAGAGGAAGGAATGATGCAGTATAGCGACGGTAGGTATTTCCCTCAGTGATGAGACCAAAGTTATCGAACTAGTAGGAGAACCTCCTCACACCACGTAAACAACACCTGCACACAAATAACAAATACTTGCAACCCGACATGTTAAAGGGGTTGTCAATCCCTTCCGCTTACGGCGCCTCAAGATAGGCAAATAACGTGAGGTAAAAGTGGTAGATAGGATAAATAGATCGCGAAACAAATAAATTGCAGCAAGGTATTTTTGTATTTTTGGTTTAATAGATCTGAAAATAAATGCAAGGGAAAATAGATCGCAAAGGCAAATATGATGAAAAGTGACCCGGGGGCCGTAGGTTTCACTAGTGGCTTCTCTCGAGAAAAATAGCAAATGGTGGGAAAACAATTATTGTTGGGCAATTGATAGAACTTCAAATAATCATGACGATATCCAGGCAATGATCATTATATAGGCATCACGTCCAAGATTAGTAAGCCAACTCCTGCCTGCATCTACTACTATTACTCCACACATCAACCGCTATCCAGCATGCATCTAGTGTATTAAGTTCATGAGAAAATGGAGTAATGCAATAAGAATGATGACATGATGTAGACGGTATCTGTTTATCTATTGCGGAGATATAGATCTCATCTTATTATCCTTAGTAGCAATGATACATACGTGTCGGTTCCCCTTCTGTCACTGGGATCAAGCATCGTAAGATCGAACCCAGTACAAAGCACCTCTTCCCATTGCAAGATAAATAGATCAAGTTGGCCAAACAAAACCCAAATATCGGAGAAGAAATACGAGGCTATAAGCAATCATGCACATAAGAGATCAAAGAAGACTCAAATAACTTTCATGGATAAAAACGTAGATCTGATCATAAACTCAAAGTTCATCGGATCCCAACAAACACACAACAAAAGGACTTACATCATATGGATCTCCAAGAGATCATTGTATTGATAATCAAGAGAGAGAGAAAGGAAGCCATCTAGCTACTAACTACGGACCCGTAGGTCTACAAAGAACTACTCACGCATCATAGGAGAGGCACCAATGGAAGTGGTGAACCCCTCCATGACGGTGTCTAGATTGGATCTGGTGGCTTTGGACTCTACGGCGGCTGGATTAATATTTCGTCGACTCCCCTAGGGTTTCTGGAATATTTGGGTATTTATAGAGCAAAGAGGCGGTTCCGGGGGGGCCTGGGCCTCCTGGCGCGCCCTGGTGGGTGTTGCTCCCCTCGAGCAGCCCCCCCAGGTGCTTCCTTGGCCCACTGGCTTTCTTCTGGCCCAAAAAATCCTCTAGGAGTTTCATTGCGTTTGGACTCAGTTTGATATTGATTTCATGCGATGTAAAAAATGCAGAAAATAGCCACTGGCACTGGGCACTATGTCAATAGGTTAGTACCAAAAAATGATATAAAATGATTGTAAAACATCCAAGAATGATAATATAACAGCATGGAACAATAAAAAAATTATAGATACGTTGGAGACGTATCACTTCCTTCCGTGGAGTAGGGAAGTTCTCTGCGAAAGCTTCGCCATTTGTGGAAGTTAATCCGGGGCGAATGGATGCAAGATCTGAAGCAGGAAGATACCCTTGCGTCTCGAGGTTGCTTAATTGGAGACGGGATACTAAATATCTTGCACAGTCGCCCGGGAGAAGGCCATGGGGTGTGAGGAGGAGCTTGGTGCGCTTGCCATTTTCCCAAAGTTCTCTGGTTTTTTGGCCTCTCAATGGTTTGGGGATGGAATGTGTTGCCCGTCCCGCTCCTGGCCTACTTAATATGCGCTTCTTACTTGTCCCATGAGGGGCCTTTTTGTAAAATACTACTGGACCGTCTGCCTCCTTCTGGTGCACGAAAGTCGAGGGGTGTCATTAACCCTAAGCAAAAGGGTTGGTGCTGTGGGCATACTTCGCCACGATCGTCAGCAGCCAAACTATTGTAAAGCCGAACATAAAAGGGGAGAAGAACTCGCCCTGCAAGCTGGAGACTTTGGGCACACAAGGCTACCAGGATCATGGGCCCCGATGTTGGAGGCTAGTTGGGGGGCTACCGAGGGTGTCCGGGATTATAGGGTCCTCGGGCTGCCGGTCTAGCCCTTGTGGGCCGGATAGCTGGGCGCTCTATAACTGTTATTGGAAGCCGAACTATAAGGTGACTCCGTGTGTAGGAAGGAAACCTCTGAAGCCTTGGTGTGCCCTCCAAGTTAGGATGGAAGAATCGGCATGTTTATTCCTTGATGGTAACCAACTATGTGTAACCGTAGGTACCCCTGGTGTCTATATAAACCAGAGGGTTTAGTCCGTAAAGGCTAGAAGAACCATCATCCTACTCATCTAGGGTTTAGTTCATCCTATCTCGTGGTAGATCAACTCTGTAATCCTCATACACACATCAATACAATCAAGCAGGACGTAGGGTTTTACCTATTCGAGAGGGCCTGAACCTGGGTAAATAATGTCCATGTGTTTCTTGTTCCCCATTGATCCTAGATCCACAGCTCGGGACCCCCACCCGAGATCCGCCGGTTTTGACACCGACAGGCATCTCCAATGCAAACCCTCAAATCGCCAGCAAATGTCCGAACCACATTTTCTGGACGCAGTTTGCCATCCAACGCCATCCCGCATTGGTCTGTAGACCAGTTTGAGTGTTCGTTTTCTTGCAAACTGGAAGCAAATTATGGGGGCTTTTCGAGAGTGTGGACCACCATGATGTAAGACTCCGACGCCCACGACCCACCCAAAACCGCATCAGGACCCCGCGTGTCTCCATGTCCCCTTCTCTGCATATGGTTCCTCCCTCTCCTTCGCTGCTGTTGTACCACCTCGACCGCCCGCCAAGCCCTTGTCGGACCTCCGTGACCTCCACCGCTCCACTCGGTCGCCACGCCATTAGTCCACACCTCCCGTCCATCCACCGAGCAGGTACCATCTGCCAGTGCGGGGGTCACCACGCCCGGCAAGTGTTTGGTGAAATGCTCGTGTAAATTTTTTTTGTCCCTTCTTTGAAGCAATGGATTCGGACATGGAATACATCTATGAGCACTGTGTTGAGTCGTCTGACAAGGAGGATTATACGGATGAAACATCGATGATGCAGGCTGTCCTTACAGACGCGAGGTGTGCGGAAGAGCATGTTCTTAATTTCAAGGGATCGATCAAGGGTCATCACATTACCACTGGATTTGGCAGCGGTCTCCATGTTTGCTCGGTTGATCTGAAGGACAACCTCCTCCTAGCAACTACACTGTCAATGTGCATCAGTAGAACATTGACTACTATCTGGTTGATGGTATCTATCCTCCGCGGACTACATTTGTCAAGACCATCTCTGAGACAGTTGGTCAAAAAAGAGCTCACTTTAACCAAAGATAATAAGGAGCTAGAAAGAATGTGGAGAGGGCATTTGGAGTGCTCCATGTCCGTTTTGCAGTTGTTCATGGACTTGCTAAACAATGGGACCCGGAGTTCTTCAGGGGAGATGATGACATGTTATATGATCATGCATGACATGATTGTGGAGGATGAGGGCGCAGATGTTGCTGGAGGTCCGAAATTTGAGAACATGGGTGATCCTATCCAACTTCCACATCAGAATCCGATCATGTTTGATGAGTTTGTTCAGATGCATCAACAAATTCGGCATCGAGCAATTTATGAGCAGTTCAAGGAAGATTTGATTGAACATCTATAGGCGGTTAAAGGGGACAATTAGAACATATGAAAGTTGAATTCAAGTTTGAACTATTTAATTTGAAAACTTAGCTGGATTATAATATTTATAAATTATAACCACTGTCGCATTTAAATATTTCCACTCATGAAGATTTGAGATGCTATTGTTTAAGTTTGCGGGCTCTTAAAAACAGAGGCCGACGTTTTGAGGACATGGTTGGATGACCAACTTCTGTACCACTGTCCGTGGACCGGATTCACAGATGAGTACAATGTCTATTTTGGGGGTCCGTTTTGGGTGTGGGCTTGAAGACACCCTTGTGGAAGACATTATTAACTTCAGTCCCGTCTTAGTGCAAAGTAGGCGTAAATCGGTTTCCCGCCTTCAGCCCCACAGCGGGAGCAACCCACTACTTCCCCGGATAAGATAACATCATCGGCACTGACACAGGACGGGGCTGCAGCTCGAACTCCTCCCATCCTGGTCTCCAGCCATGGCCACCGCCACCTCCCCGCTCCTCTCCCTCTCTTCCCTCTCGGCCTCCCTCCCCTCCCCTTCCCGGGCACCCGCCTCCCTCTCCCTCCGCGCCCTCGCCCCACAGGCCCGCCTGTCGACCTCCTACGCCGCCTTCCCCATCGGTACCGCACTTCCCTTCCCCCGCTCGAGTTTCCTCAAGAAAATTATGTTTATTCATCAGTGACCGAGAATGCTTTCGTCAGGTGGGTTCGGAGCCTCGGCGTCGACCGGAAGGTTTAGGAGGAGGGGGCTGCAGGTGGTGTGCGCCGCCGAGCCGCCCAAGACTGGAAGGCAGGCGGACTCGGTCAAGAAGAGGGAGCGTCAGAATGACAGACACCGCATTCGCAACCATGCACGCAAGGCCGAGATGCGCACCCGGATGAAGAAGGTATATACAATGCCTAACGGCGGGCGTATCCCTTTCTCCATCTTTCAAGTTTTGCCACTAAAATACTCAATTGGCACTGCGTGCCTTGGTGAAAATGGGGAATAGGTGCTTTGAGATAAGCACTTGTTGCTGTGTTTTGGGGAATTTTGAGGGTTGGGGAGTAGAGTAGACTCTATACTGCAAATTAACGGAGTTTAAGAATTTGTAAAATGTGTGTTGGTTTCTCCACTTGAAATACATTTTGGAGTTGCATTCTGTTATTCTGACATGCCTTATTGTCAATGTAGATGGATTTGATGTAGTATTAACCAACAAACGGATTAAATTTGATTGTACAAGGCGAGTGATTAATTAGATATTGCAAGTGGATTTATTATCGGAATATTGCCCACAAAACATCCGAAGAAGGGGACAGAAGTAACAAACCACCAAATTTAGTTTCCGTGGCGTACTTCATCTGAATAATAGGTGTTATGTGTTATTTTAGTAAATCAAATGTCATATAAACTCCATCCTGAATTAGTTGGCACTCAAACGGATGTATCTAGCACTGAAATATGTCTAGATACATCCATTTGAGCGTCAACTAATTCCGGACGGAGGGGAGTACTGGTTATTGGTATGAAGATGGTTTCATTTGTACAAAACATTCAGTTTTTTTAATTTAGCAATCAATCCCAGAAGTTTTCTTTTATATTGAGACCAAATGCCCTAAGCTTTTACTCTTTGATTAGGTTTTCAGAGCCCTTGAAAAGCTTAGGAAGAAAGCCGATGCCCAACCTGAAGAAATCATTGAAATAGAGAAAATGATCTCCGAGGCATACAAAGCCATCGACAAGACAGTGAAGGTTGGCGCCATGCACAGGAATACTGGAGATCATCGCAAGTCCAGGCTTGCAAGGAGGAAGAAGGCCATTGAGATAATCCGTGGTTGGTATGTTCCGAATGCTGAACCTGCTGCGGCTGCCTAGTTTCTGGGGGAGTCATCATCGTAAATTGCAGCAGTTTTTCTTTCATCACATCTTGCCAATTTTGGGCAGCATATGTTATTGAACGAGCTCAATAGACTGCCAGGTCTTCCCCATGGCAAGTGTTCTGGACTGGCTACTGTGTTTATGTGCTTGCTATGCTCTGGCACAGAATTGGGCCATTGCTTGTCTTACATTCCCTCTTGTAAAACTTCAAACTGAATATACCTCTTGTATGGTGTATGCAGATATCTTCGGCTAGAGATAATATGTTCAGTATAAATACTTTCTCTCATTACCTTCTTCCATTGTGAAATGGATATGCATCTCTCACATCTGTTTTCTTTTGTACTCCAATGGGAAAATACGACCCTGGAAAAGACATACAGTATAATCCTTCCTGAGCGGTGTATTGCTCTAGGCCTGTTACTACGAAGCTTTCTTATGAGATGGTTTTAAGATTCCCTTGGTTTGATACCATTTTAATATCTTTACAGATATGACCCTAGTGAACTTGTATTAGACACAGTATATTTTAGATCGCACCTACCTGACCCTCCTCTGTTTTAAACATTCGCACAAGATTGATTATCAAGAGATGACATTTGACTGTTGGTTCTGTAAAACCCACCTCCTAGGAGGATTGTAACCGTACCCCTATCTTTTCAATGCAATGAAACGCAAAGGTTCTTTGTTTTTTCTCGAAATAAGAGATGACATTTCTCTTAACTGGAGCCACCTGAGACTGGTTCAATACTGTTATACAATAATGTCAACACGTTCTCGTTCGAAAAGTATTAGTAGTAGTAATAGTCGTGGTAGTAGTAGATGATACTAGTAAGAGTAAGAGTAATAGTACAAACACATCATATGAAACATGATATTTGCATTATTACTGTGCTAGTAGGTAGCATGATATCTTTGACCCACTCTATTCAGTGATTTAAACGCTCTTGGCTTGGTCGTGCTAACTGCTAACATATCTCGAGGTTCACAGGTTTGCATTTGTCCTCCTAGCGTCTCCAACACTGACCTGGTGATGATTTATTTGATCATTAGTCAACATGCGTTCAGGTGCCCAAGAGCTTCTACCTCGCCCAAGCCGAAGTATGGTTCTCTTATCGATCTTTGTATGAAGGCCGAATCCACGTTGCATGGAATTGATGGTTCAAAACTGCGGACACAGACAAATGAGGGCCGGCCTGCTCATGTCTGCAGACATATATAGGGGCACAGATTTGTTCATCAAGGCCGATGCTCTAAAAGAACTTCGCCGTCGGATTCTTGGAAACTTCTGCGCCGTTGGATTGACATCCCACAACTTTGGTTTATCTTCCTCCTCAAGCTTAAATCCTAATCCCCAAACCCGTCAAGGTTCTTCCTCCACTGGCAGCGACATCATGGTGTCCCCGGCTCGAGCTCGCCGCCGTCCAATCTCAAGGGGGAGGGGGCCCATTCAAAACCCAATGATCCAGATGTTTATGGTGACTATATGTTCCGAACTCTGTATTAGCAATTTCTAAATCACAGACGAAATTTATCACCTACTCCCTCCGTCCAGAAATACTTGTCATCAAAATGAATAAAATGAGATGTATCTAGACGTATTTTAGTTCTAGATACGTCCCTTTTTTATTCATTTCGATGACAAGTATTTTCGGACGGAGGGAGTACCAAATAGCAAATGCAGCTTGAAGGGACATTTCTTTCAGCTCTCAGCATTATGTCAGGTGAGCTTAGAAGGAAGAAGTATCGATAATATTGCTACCGATTTACCCGATTACACAGGCAAGGTCAAGCAATTTGCACACCTTCATGACA